GTGAGCCGAGATCATGCCACTGTACTCTAGCCTGGGTGACAGGGTGAGATTCTGTGTCAAAAAAAATCTATTTAGTATTTTTATGGGGCGGCATTTTTAAAATTTAGGACCTTTAGGATGGAGGGCACCCCTTCAGTTATTATGAGAGACACAGATGGAAATAAAGATTTTATTACTTACAGGACCTGGAGGGTACATGGCACATGGTTCAGTGGCCACACACAGCATGGAGGTCAGAGAGTGCTTGTGGGGAAGAGGGAAAAGGGAGAGATCCATGGGCCGACTCATTCACTGCGGTCTTTATCCAAACAGATTTCTGGTGGGAATTTAGGCAAGTAGGCATGGGTTCTAGGAGGTCCCACTGTGGCTGAGAGGTGATCACTGCAATGTTTCTGCACAGTCTGTGCAGGATGCCAGGTGGAGGGGGGCATCTGCAGGGCTAATTAAGTCGGGCATGTCCAGCTGTCTCACAGGCAAGTGGTCACTGTGGGAAAGTTGAATAAAGCAGATATCTGGATCCATCACATTGAGGAACTGGGAGGAGGTGAGCTAGAAATGGTGTCCAGAGTGACTAAACCCTGCTTCCGGTATGAGACATGGGAGACCAATTCAAAATGGGTGTGGATGCAACACGAATTATAGGAATTCACTAAAGCAGTACATTTATAAATTAATTTTGGGAGTATCAACTTCTTTAAAATACTGAGTGTTCTTTGGGGCAACTTATCTTGTGTCTTTTTTTTTTTTGAGAGTCTCACTCTGTCACCCAGGCTGGAGTGTAATGGTGTGATCCCAGCTCACTGCAACCTCTGCCTCCCAGGTTCAAGCAATTCTCTTGCCTCAAGTCTGCAGTGAAATGTGATTTTGCCACTGGGCAGAGTGAGACCCTGTCTGAAAAAAAAAGAGGCTCTCTCTCTGTTGCCCAGACTGGAGTGTAGTGATGTGAGATCGCCCTGCCTCAGCCTCCTGAGTAGTTGGGACTACAAGCACGTGCCAGCATGCCCAGCTGAATTGTTTTTTTACAGATGGGGTCTTGCTGTGTTGTCCAGGCTGGTCTCCAACTCCTGGTCTTAAGCACTTCCCCTGCCTGGCATGGGATTACAGGGGTGAGCCACCGCAGTCAGCCCCAGCACTTCTTTTGGGGGACACTGTTCAACCCACCACACCGTGGACATTTTAAATTTGTTCTGGTTCTTACAAAAAATGGTTCTCACGTTTCACTATTAAGGAAAACATTTCTGTAGGATCCTGGAAACTGCCACTTCTCAAATTAAGGAAGCTTTATCCTGTCCTCTGTTTACTAAGCATTTATTTTTTGTGCTTATCTTTGTTTTAAATGAAGAATGAGTGTTGAATTGATATATCTCGTAAATTGTAATGTGAAAAGGACACAAACCAGTTGCGGAAGGATATGGACCATGTGACGACATTTGAATAAAGCTCCCGGATGTGCAAAACAGCGCGATATATCGGCCATGGGAAGACGTGTAACTAAAGCACTTGTAAATGGAATAAACACCGAGTCTGGGAGGGCAGCTGCCTTGGGGAGGGGAACAGGAGCAGGATGGGGTACAAGGGACCTCCACTGTATTTGCTATGATTTGTTATGATGTTTTACTTTTAAGAAGACATGAAATATGTGAAGATGTCAAAACCTGAAAAAGCCGAGTGGAAGGAATAAGCGTTTTCACTTTTGCCTGCTTTCCTCTTTGCATACTTTATAATAACAAAAAAAAGAAAGCCAAAATTCACAGCAACAACCAATGTGCCACACGCCATTGCAGTGGGCTGCTGTCCTGGTTACAGCCACCATCTTATCTCTGCAGAGGATGGAAACCAGAGTGGTCATGGCCTTGGAGCTGAATCCTGTGACGTTCACCTTCTTCCCACATTCATCCAAACCTCTTGTCTCTGCTATTCAAGTCCTTGTATGATGTGACCCCAGCTGACACCCTCGCCCCAGATGATTGCCCCTGAATTAGTCTCAGCTTCTCCAACAAGTCCTATTCCCTTACTTTCCCAATCTTTGCATGTGCTGATACCATGTTGGGACCATTCTTTAATGTATCGATCTCCTCTGGAATAATTCTGACTCCTTCCCCAGGCATCACCTCCTCCAGGAAGCCCTCCAGGCTCAGCCTCTGTCTCCAATGGTCCTCACAGTCTCCTATACTTCCCAGACTCATCATATTGTCTTCAAATTCCCTGGTTACATGTTCTCCACCCACCTGAGAAACAGTTCTCCCTTCCCCGTCCTGGGCCAGGGATAGAGGGTAGAGGTCTGCTGCCTCCTTCTAGGACCTCTCTTCCCCTCTCACATTGAGGTCTGGGCATGGGACATTGATGGGCAGCCTTCTGGCTTCCTCGCTGAGCCGGACAGCTCCACCTTGGCTCGCCAAGGCAGCTTCAGCCACAGGTGTAACCAGCACAGCCCCACTTTCCTGCCCCCTTGCCTTTGCCTTGGCTGTGCCCTGTTCCTGGTGTGCCCCCTTTCTGTGTCCACAGCACGCATGTCCTTGAACCCACACACCCCATGCTCTCTATTCCAGAAAACCTCCTCCAATTTATCAAATGAACGAATTCTATCTCCTCCGTAAGGGTCGATGAACTACTTCCATGTAAATCCTTTCCCCAGAACACACTCTGATGGTTGCCTTGGACAGAGATTGTGGAATCCCATGGGTTTTCACTTCCACTCCCTGAGCCAGGAAGCCGTCTGCTCTCCACTGAGTGACAGCCGATGGTGATGCATTTGTGGAAGGTTGTGTGAGGACTTACTTCTACACATCCCCCTACTCCTGCCCCCACGAAAACACGACTCTGGAAGAGTCCATTGCACATTGCTGGGTGTCTGACCCTATTCTCTGCCACAGCAAAGCCAGGAGATGCTGTCATGACATCTGACACCCTGGTCTGAGTTTTGTGTACAAGGCTTGTCTTTTAGATGTGTGTTTTCTTCCTCACCTTCCTTTCCCTTCCATCTTCCTTTTACAAAATCCTCTTGTCTTTTTATTTCATTTTATTGTGAATGCCTCTCATTCCTGGAAGAAGAGGCAGGAAATAGACAGCAAATAAAATTTATTTATGTATTTATTTATTTTCGAGACAGGGTCTCGCTCTGTTGCCTAGGCTGGAGTGCAGTGGGTGCAATCACAGCTCACTGCAGCCTTGAACTACTGGGCTCAAGCGATCCTCCAGCCTCAGTTCTGAGTAGCTGGGACTACTGGTACACACCACCATGCCCAGCTAATTAAAAAAATATTTTGTACAGATGGGGTCTTGCTATGTTGCCCAGGCTAGTCTGGAGATCCTCCTGCCTTGGCTCCCCAAATTTTTAAATGAAAAAATGGATAAGGGTTTTCAAGAGGTTCAAGGAGATGGGGTGTGCTTATGTATCTACAAGAGGGGCTGGAACATTCTGTTAAGTGCTCAACATTTCACCTCCTCGGTGAGGCTGGCCCCGGCCACCCTGGTCACCTGACCACTGCTTACTGCCCACCCAGTCCTGCCAAGCACTTATCCTACTAAACCTTTTCTTCCCTTCATTTTTGTCATAGCAACTATGCCTTTTGGATATAGTATACTAGGGTTCCCACCTTTTGCACTATGGACATTTGGAGCCAGATCATTATTTGCTATGGGGGATGTCCTGTGCATTGTAGGGTTTTGAGCAGAATCCTTGATCTCTACCCACCAGATGCCTGGAACACTAACACACACACACACACACACACACACACACACACACACCACCCATGCTGTGACAACCAAAAGTGTCTCCAGTCATTGCCAAACGTCCCCTGGTGGGCATAATTGCCCCTGGCTGAGAACTACTGAGCTATACAACTTGTTTTCAATGATGTTTATGACGCTGACTATGGAGTCTGTCTTCACACACTCCTTCTAGAATATTAGCTCTTTCCTTATTTTTTCTCTGATGTGGTCCCAGTTCCAAGATCAATGCCTGAGATACAGCACAGGTTCAATGTTTGTTGAAAGAATGCATGAACATTGAGCGTTGTTGTTTTTTTCTTTTCTTTTCTTTTTTTGTTTTGAGACAGAGTCTCACTCTGTCCCAGGCTGGAGTAAAGTGAGGTGATCTCAGCTCACTGCAATGTCTGCCTCCCGGGTTCAAGCAATTCTTCTGCCTCAGCCTCCCGAGTAGCCGGGACTACAGGTGCGAGCCACCACACCCAGCTAATTTTTGTGTTTTTGGTACAGACAGTTTTTCACCATGGTGACTAGGATGGTCTTGATCTCCTGACCTCATGATCTGCCCACCTCCGTCTCCCAAAGTGCTGGGATTATAAGCGTGAGTCACCGCACCCAGCTCAGTGAGCATTTTTTATGTTCCTGAGATGGTGCTACCTAGACATGTAGAACCTCATTTTCTTTCTCTTTTCTATTTTTTTCCCTTTTATTTCTCTTCTTCCTATTTTTTTTTTTTTTTTTTTTTTTTACAGATGAGGGTCTTGCTATGTTGCCCAGGCTGGTCTAGAACTCCTGAGCTCAGGGATCCTTCCACACCGGCCTCCCAAAGTACAGGGGTTACAGGCGTGAGCCACCAAGATCATCTCATTTATTTATCACAGCATCTTCACGAGCAAGGCCCATCACTATCTCCTTTACCCAAAGGTGAAAACTAATGCTTCTAGGAGCGACCTGCTATGCCCACTCCATGGTAGAGGCCTGCAGCTCAGCTGACCACCTTTCCATCAAACCTGTTGGTTTTCTTCTGGTCCAGAGGGACTGGATCAAGGTCAGGTTCAGACCCAGACTCTGCAGGCACCTACAGGGGAGTCGAGGAGGAAGATGAACTGGCCTGGTGGGGGGGGGGCTACACCTGATGGGGGTTTCTCGGAGCCAGCAGGGGTTACAACTGGATAGGGTTCAGTGTGTTCCTTTCAGGTGGAAACTCAGCCCCAGGCCCATAAGAGGGGGGTCCAAGAGAAGCCTCCAGGACCAGCCTGGGGATGGAGCTGCAGCCACCAGGACCTGGAACCGCCCTGCCTCTCCCCCAGCCCAGCCCAGAAAGGACCCAATCCTGTGATTGGTCCATGGGTTCCCGTTGCCGGGAACTGAGGTCAAGAAAATGGGAAGGAAGGAAGGGAGTGGGTAGGTCCCGTGAGGACGAGGGTGAAATTTTTATCTCTGCCCAGGTCTGGGTGTTTGCACCGCCATGGACACAACCAGGTACAGCAACTGGGGCGGCAGCTCCGAGGAGGTCCCTGGAGGTATGAGCAACAAGACCCCCTTATTCCTGCCCCAGTGTCTAGGGCTTAATGGGGGAGGGGAGGGAAGAGCCAAGACGGGCCAGGGTCGTGGGTGCAGAAGAGACACCACAGGACACAGAGCCAGTTGGACCAGGGTCCAATTCCAACTCTGCCACTTAGAAGCTGTGTTACTTAACATCTCGGAATCTCAGTTTCCTGGGAGAAACAGCATTCTGTGCTTCTTCGCCCAGGGCACTGGAGACTCTGGGAGCACTGGAGCCGGAGACCCCTCTTCCTGGCCCTGACTGTCCTCGTCGCCATAGTCCTGTGGGCTGATTCTGAGCATCCTATTGTCCAAGGGTGAGTGACCCTCAATGGGGAAGGGTTGCGTCTGGCCCCCCTGGAGACACAAAACCCCCCACTCCACGGCTCCCTGCCCGGGTCTGAGTGTGAGCAGAGTGTGTGTACATCTTCGGACCGTGTGCACTCACGCGTGTGCACATGGCGTGCATATGTGTGCAAGTAGCTGCGCGTTTAATTCCAACGGCGTGTGCGCACATCGTGTGCGCTGTATGCCTGCCGCGGAGTTGGGGGACCACGCACCTCCCGGGCGAGGAGAGGATTCCCGAGTCCCTGGCCTCGCCTGCAGGAGCCTCTCTCCGCAGCCTCCACGGAGCGCGCTGCGCGGCTCTGGGGCCCGGACGCGCTGAGGACAAACGGTGCGTGCAGAGCGGGACGCTTGGGCCCACAGGGTGTGCGAGGTGGGAGGGCCTGAGACCCCGGAGATGGAGTCTCGGCTGCGTGGGGGCCTATGGTCCCTGAGGCTGGCGCCGGGGTGGGGAAACGGGTCTCCCAAGTCCTCCCAAGTCCTCCCAAGTGACCCGGCCGGCGTGCGTTTTGGGGCGGGGTCGTTCCAGCCTCCCAGCAGACGACGGTGCTGAGTGCCCTGAAGGAGGAGGTCGGAGCTTGCCACAGCTGCTGTGAGGGGGCGCGGCCGAGGCTGTGGGCGCAGAGGAGGGGGCTTGTGACCGGGATGGGAGGGGGACCGGGGACGGGGCCTGCGGCGGATGGGGCGGGGAGGGGTGGTCTCCAAAGTCCCGCCACATCCTCGCCACCCTGGCCCCTCCCAGGCTCGGGGACACAGGCGAAGCTGCAGACCACGCGCGCCGAGCCTGGGGAGGCGCAGGCGAAGCTGATGGAGCAGGAGAGCGCCCTGCGGGAACTGCGTGAGCGCGGTGAGGGCCCGACACAACCCCAGCCCTGAGCCCTGGCCGCGCCCAGCGACCGTTCGACCCCGACCCGGTCCTGAGTGCCGATCCCCGACCCCGATTGTGCACCCCGTCCTGACCCTGACGCTGGACTCTGATCTTGACCGCGACTCCTGGTGCCAGACCCTGCCCAGTTGTCACCGCCCTTGACCCTGTGCCATCCTGGACGCTGGCACTGAGGGTACCATGACCACAGATGGGGTTCTGATCGTTAGCTAGTCATGACCCTGCTCCTGGTCTTGACCCCAGCCATAATCCCCGCTCCCTTCACCCCGTAGTGACCCAGGGCTTGGCCAAAGCCGGCAGGGACCGCGAGAACGTCCGCACTGAGCTGTTCCGGGCCCTGGAGGCCGTGAGGTTCCAGAACAGTGAGCGAGACCGGAGTGGTGGGGGCGGGGCGGGCTGTGAGGTGTAAGTGGACCCTGCCCCTCTTGGACCTCGGCCTGGTTCTGGGTCTCCACCCCTGAGCCCGCGGAACAGAACCCCTACCCCACTGCATCTTCTCGGTGTGCTCCTCCTGGATGCCCTCGACCTCTGTGACCCTCGCCACCTCGCAGGCTCCTGCGAGCCATGCCCCCAGTCGTGGCTGCCCTTCGAGGGGTCCTGCTGCTTTTTCTCTGTGCCAAAGACCACCTGGGCGGCGGCGCTGAGTCACTGCGCGCATGCCAGCGCGCACCTGGTGTTCGTTGGGGACCTGGATGAGCAGGAGCGCAGGGGGAGGGGGCGTGGCCAGGTGGCGGAGCGGGGCGGACTCCGCGCAGGCTCAGATGTCCCCTCCTTTCTAGGGCTTTCTGACTTGGAACACGCGTGGCCGCCGTTACTGGCTGGGCCTGAGGGCTGTGCTCCAGCTGGACAAGGTTCAGGGCTACCAGAGGGTAGACGGAGGAGTCTCACTCACCTTCAGGTGAGGGAAGGGCTCCTAGTAAGACCTGGGGAGGGAGACAGGTTAGACTCTAGAGGACATGCTTTGGCCAATCTCAGGGACCCCTTGGCTGAGGCTCCATGCCTAGGGATGAGCAGGCTGGATTCCAGGAATGTTCTCAGGTTAAATTCTGGGCGTTAACAAGTTATCAGCCAAGTACGGTGGCTCACGCCTGTAATCCCAGCATTGTGGGAGGCTCAGGCGGGTGGATAACCTGAAGTCAGGAGTTTGAGACCAGCCTGACCAACATGGTGAACCCCGTCTCTACTAAAAATACAAAAATTAGCCGGGTGCGGTGGCGCACGCCTGTAATCCCAGCTACTCAGGAGGCTGAGGCAGATGAATCGCTTGAAACCGGGAGGCGGAGGTTGCAGTGAGCAGTGACTGCACTCCAGCCTGGATGACAGAGCGAGGCATTATCTCGAAAAAAATAGTTATATCCCAGGTGTATGCTCAGTTTAGACAGTTGAGGTGTCTAAGGTAGACCCAAGCAATAAACAGGCTAGAGCCTGGAGAGGAAGTAGGGGACCCCGTGTTCATCCTCAGTCTGGTTTCCCAGCAACACCCCCACTCAACCACTGCAGCCACTGGAATCGGGGAGAGCCCAGTGACTGTGGACGGAGCGAGGACTGTGTCATGATGCTGCCCACAGGGCTGTGGAACGACGCACCATGTGGCAGCAAGCTCGGCTGGATCTGTGAGAAAAGGCGCAGCTGCTGACTCCGCCCAGTGACCCGGAGCCACGCCCATTGCAGCACGTGGTATCCCGGGGGCTGCTCACCTCCCTGGCTCCTGGAGCTGATTGCCAAAGAGTTTTTTCCTTCCTCATTCGTCAGTACTGAGTCCGAGAACCACTCGGCCCAACAGAGCCCTGTGCAGTCCAGTGCCTGGGCTCTGGGACCTCCGTGACAACCTCATCCCAACTCCACACACGCAGACCCAACCTAACCTCCATTAGCTCCAAAATCCCTGCTCCTAGGTCCTGGTGATGTGACTCCACTTCTCTACCTAGCCAAGGTTAGGTGACTGAGCGCTGGAGCTATCCGGTTTTCTCGCATTTTCCACCAAACTGGGAGCTGTTTCTGCAGCCTGAGGAAGCATCAAGTATTTGAGAAATTAATCCCGGTTCCTGGCTCTGGCGAAATCTTCTGTGCTTTATCCCGGGTGTCCTAGTTTAATCCCTACAAGGGACCCCTGACCTCTCTCAGCGACCTCTTGGCCTTTGATGGGTAACTTGCACTGGGTCAGGAGGGTTTGAAGATAGGGGCACTTTCCCACGCTACACCATTACTTCCTCAGTCCCTGGCATGGGGCTTGGCTCAGAGGAGGCTGGGGACACAGAAATGGGTCAGAGGCAGTTACTTCCCCTGGGACCTCTGTATTCTGGTCTAGCTGGGCACAGGAACCAAGTAACCAGTAATTTAATGGAGGAAAGCATGGCGAGGACACCTGATACATTAAGAGGAACCGCCTTTGTCCCTGGGGAGATCGACTGTCCTGAGATACTGCAGCAGTGGCACCCGTCCTTGAGAAGACTATCACCCCGTCGTGGAGATTATGAGCATCCTGAGACAAGCCCTTGAGGCAGGTGGGGGACAGGGCACGCTGATGGAATGAGCAGGTCCCTTCTGCTCCATGCATCTAGGGCCTGTGACCATTGGATGGATTGGTCAGGAAATACATTCCAGAGAAGGCGGTGGATTTTCCAAGGGATAATGGAATTTGAGTAGATGAAGCTGAGAAGGTAGGACTTTGGAGGCAGAAGGCCCAGGAAGAGAAAGGCTGAGAGTGTGGACATAGTGGTGCATGCTTGTAGTCCCAGCTACTCAGGAGGCTGAGGTGGGAGAATTGCTTAAGACTAGGAGTTTGAGAATGCAGTGAGCAATGATCATGCCTGTTTATAGAGTTACTGTACTCCATTCTGGGCAAAGCAATGAGACCATGCCTCAAAAAAAAAAAAAAAAAAAAAAAAAAAAAAGAAAGCAAGGCTCAGAGGTTGGAAGGTATACAGATGGCTGAATTCACACAGGGGTGTATGTTACATAGAACCTGGCTTTCTCAACCAGGGACTTTTGATCTGAATTCACCCTACATTCCCAGTTACTTGCTTCCATCAGGGAGAGTTAGGGGCTCTCCAAGAATTTCCTACGAAGACAGGTTCAACAGGGGAGTGACAAGATGGCAGCTTTTAGGTCTGTGCAGAGCTGAGTCTAGAACTGCACACTTCTGGGAGCCCCCAGGGCTGCCAGACTGTATAACAGCATCAGCCGAGCTGGAAATAGAAGGAACACCATCACATTCCCCGGCCAGGTGGAAATCGTCATCACTGTAACCTGTCAACCCCCCAGTCCTCTGATCCTTCTACACCTGCAGTCTAGAGCAGGCACTGGGCAAGTCCAGGAGCTCATTAACTTACCTACTGGACTGAGTGCAAGGCTGTTGGACTTCCAGACACAGTTGGCTTGGAAGAGGGTTTGAGTTTCCCACCACTACTGTAATGGATTTCACTGACCAAAAATCAAGGTCTAAGGATGCATTAGTCTGTTCCCATGCTGCGAACAAAGACATATCTGAGACTGGGTAAGTTATAAAGGAAAGAGGTTTAATGGACTCGCAGTTCCACATGGCTGGGGAGGCCTCACGATCATGGCAGAAAGCAAAGGAAGAGCAAAGGCACGTCTTACATGGTGGCAGGTAAGAGAACTTGTGCAGGGGAACTCACATTTGTAAAACCATCAGATCTCAAGAGACTTATACACCACCACAAGAAGTATAGGGGAAACTGCCCACGTAATTCAATTTTCTTCACCTGGCCCCACCCTCGAGACATGGGGACTATTACAATTCAAGGTGAGATTTGGGTAGGGACCCAGCCAAACCTATCAAAGGGAAAATGTTTCTTTGCCTTTTCCAGCTTCTAGAGCTGTTGTCCTCATGTTTCTTGACTCCTGGACTCTTCTTCCATCTTCAAAGGCAGTAGTATTTAGCTTCAGCCATGGCAATGACTTCTGTGTCAAATCTCTCTCTGCATCCCCCTCACAATCACCTTTTTTTTTTGGAGACAAGGTCTTGCTCTGTCACCTAGGCTGGAGTGCAGTGGCACAATCATAGCTCACTGCAGTCTCGACCTCCTGGGCTTGGGAAATCCTCCCACCTAGCCTCCCCAGTAGCTGGGACTATAGGCACGCACCACCACACCCAGCTAATTTGTTAGATTTTTTTGTAGAGATGGGGGTCTCACTATGCTGCCCAGGTTGGTCTGCCTCTTTCTTATATGAACCCTTGAGATTGCATTTAGGGCCAGCCCTGATAATCCAGGATGATCTCCTGTGGTTCTTTTTTTTTTTTTGAGGCAGGATCTCACTTTGTTACCTGGGCTGGAATGCAGTACCATGAACACAGCTCCACTGAGTCTGGTGTCCTGAGCTTTTATTGGGGTTTCAGTATGTAGGCAGAATTGATCCAATTACTGCTTCAGTGTTTCAGGTGTTTTTTTTGGTTTGGTTTGGTTTTTTTTTTTTTTAAGACCAGGTCTTGTTCTCTTGCTCAGGCCAGAGTGGAGTAGCATGATCATAGTTCACTGCAGCCTCAACCTCCTGGGCTCAAGTGATCCTGTCACCCCTCAGCCTCTCAAGTAGCTGGAACTACAGGCACATGCCACCCTGCCCAGCTATTTTTTGTATTTTTTTGTAGAGACAGGATTTCACCAGATTGTCCAGGTTGGCCTTGAGCTCCTGACTCAAGCAGTCCTCCCACCTTGGCCTCCCAAAGTGCTGGGATTAAAGGCATGAGCCACCTTGCTCAGCCTCAGGAGTTTTTACTTGGGTCTCATTACATGGGCAGGATTGACTGAATCATTGACCTTGTGAATGAACCATCTCCAGGACCCCTCCTGTCCCCAGAGGCCAAGTGGTTGTAAATTCCAACCCTCACGGTTGATGTTTCTGTCATGGGATGGTGCCCACTCACATTGAGAGTGGGTCTTCCTCTCCCAGTCCACTGACCTAAATATCAACCTCCTCTGGCAACACCCTCACAGACACACCCAGAAACAATGCTTTACCAGCCACCCAGGCTTCCCTCCATCTGGTCAAGTTGACACTGGGTGCTACACCATCATGGCACAGGGAAGAGCCAGCTGAGATAGACTCCCAGGTGGGACAGCATCACTGTGACATACTTACCTAGAGGTCTAATTGCTTGATGAGCTGGGTTAACTGATGGTCTGGAAGATGCAGACAGATTCTAATTAAACTTAATGGCAATGAGGTGGAGACTCTGGACTGACTGAAGAGCAACAGAGACAGAATGACAGACTTCATGGCCAGGTGCAGTGACTCATCCCTGTAATCCCAGCACTTTGGGAGGCCGAGGTGGGAGGATCACCTGAGGTCAGGAGTTTGAGACGAGCCTGGCTAACATGGTGAAACCCCATCTCTACTAAAAATACAAAAAAATTAGCTGGGTGTGGTGGTGCGCACCTGTAATCCCAGCTACTTGGGAGGCTGAGGCGGGAGAATCACTTGAATCTGGGAGACAGAGGTTGCAGTGAGCCGAGATCACACCATTGCATTCCAGCCTGGCAACATATTCCAGAGGCTGAGGCAAGAGAATCGCTTGAACCCAGGAGTGGGAGGTTGCAGAGCCAAGATGGTGCCACTGCACTCCAGCTGGGGTGACAGAGAGGGACTCCATCTCAAACTAAATAAAATAAAATAATAATAAAAATTAAAAATAAAAGGCTGGGCATGGGGATGCACACCTGTATTCTCATCTACTTGGGAGGCTGAAGCAGAAGGATTGCTTGAGCCCAGAAATTTCAGGTTACAGTGAGCTGTGATTGCACCACTGCACTCCAGCCTGGAAGAGACCCTAGAGACCACAGTTACATTAGAACTGCCCTGGAATCTTCTCCATGGCCGGAGCATGCCCTCGAGGCCCTGGTACCCCTGGCTCATATTCTGGGACAGCAGGGCCCAAGGGAGCCCCAGGTCTGGAACCCAGACAGCTGAGTGGCTGGCCTGGAAATGCCCATCCTCTCCTCACCACCTGCCATCTGCATTTATGCTCAGCTCACAGGCCCTGCCTCCCAGTCACCCGGCTCTAACCTACCAGTGTTCCAGCATGCCCATAAAGACCCTGCATGAGACAGTCAGGTCCCAGGTCCCAGGCCACACTCTCCACTCCAGTATTCCACTTCTCTGGGGAGAAAGGCATCTCTGGAGCCTATCTCTATTTCTGGAACTGACTTTGACTTTCAGTTGGCTTTTGTTTTCCTGAAATATTGGTCGTGCAAGATACACTATTCTAAAGGATGACAGGTGGCTGAGCGTGATGGCTCACACCTATAATCCCAACACTTTGGAAAGCGGAAGTGCGAGAATCACTTGAGTCTAGGAGTTCAAGCCCAGCCTGAGCAACACGGTGAGACCCCCATCTCTATAAAAGAATAATTTTAAATTAAATGAGCTGGGCATGGTGGTACATGCCTATTAGTCCTGTCTACTCAGGAGGCGAGGCAGGAGGCTTGAGCCCAGGAGTTCAAGGTTACGATGAGCTACGATCACATCACTGCAGCAGTCTAGCCTGGGTGACAGAACAGGATCCTCTCTCTATTTTTTTTTTTTTTAAAGGTGGGTGCAGTGGCTCATGCCTGTAATCCCAGCACCTTGGGAGGCCAAGGCAGGTGGATTGATTGCCTGAGTCAGGAGTTTGGGACC